CCCTTCCCCTTCCCCTTCCCCTTCCCGCTCGTGGCCAGGAGCCACGGGTGCCTTGCCATGCCCGGAGCGTTCACCTGGACATCTTACAAGTCCAAGTACCGTGTGCCCAGCGCTGTGTTCGCCAGAGCGGGACCCAAACAGAGGATCAGTGAAGCGCCAGGAAAGCTTCTGGGCAGCAGCAGTAACTTGGCACTGAAAGACTAACCAGGAGCAGTCTTACTGTAAGGAACGTCCCAGCTTTTAAAGTCCTGACAGGAGAATGGAGGCCTGAATTTATTGTGTCCTAGAGCTCTCTCCATCAGTATAAAACATTTTTGCGTAGTTGCCTTTCTTCTCTAGGAAGACTGAAAGATGTTGTTTTCCCATCTGTCAGTCTTGGCAGATACTTCTAAGTGGGAACATCAGCCCCTCTTACCTCCTTGTTCTCTCTGACCTGAAGGATTTTTGCAACTGCTGTGACTCTGGGTGGGTTAAAGTGTAAAAAGCAGCTGCCTCAGTTTCTTCAAGGAGCTGCCAACTTCTGGGCATGGCTCATGGGTCACTAGTCTTGATGTAATGTTTTTTTTTGCAGCGGCAAAGCATGGCGCAGGCACTGAAACTACCCCAACCTGCTCATCATCCTCCTCCTCCCACAGAAATCAGTATTTGTGGCAGGTCGGGGCTGCCCCAGGGCAGGGAGCAGTGCCCAGCTGCAGCTTTGGTTCCTCCTTGCCCTTGGCGAGAGTTTGCCGGCACGTTCTTGAGGTGGGAGAGTTTTTGTGCAGCATCTCTGCTCTGCTCTCCTCTTCTTAGCAGTGAACCCTCTGAGAATTAAGCTCGGGCACGTCTCTCTGCTTTCTCATTTCACCAGGGCCCAGCGGACTGTCACCCAGCTTCAGCCAAATCCTTATCAACGCCTCTTGTTGTGCTGATTCCCCGCGTTGGAGGGAGTTTGGGAAAAGGCAGACAGCAATTTAATCTGGTTGCCCAACTCCCTCTTTGCCCAGTGTATTCCCTTGCCACCCCGGGAACTGGTCATCTAACAGTGCTCTAGCAGCCGAGGGCAGGTGGGATGTGTCCCTGTCCTTTGATGTGCACAGCAGGATTTCTCTGGGCAGTGATCAATTTTGTTACCTGTTAGAGTGTGTAGGAAAGATTAAATCTCTGTGGGATACTTTCAGAGCTGCTGGGGAAGGGATTTTGGGTGGCGTGCACTGAGTTGGCCTTGGGTAGTGCAAAAGAGCTGTCTTTGGAGAAACAAACCCAAATCGTCTCTGCTACTGTTCTGCAGGGTTTCCCCCCTCCTCTCCTCGGGGCTGGACACAGCTGGTGGGAGGGATTTCTGACTGTCAGCAAGAAAAGAAACAAGAGAGCATGTGAGGGAAAGGAGCTAGACCTGGGAAAGGCAGGAGGAAAGTTCCGTTGCTCCCTTGAAACGCGGGGAAGCTGCTCTCAGCGTGTGTGCGCGGGAGTTACTCGCTCCCCTCTCCTGGGGACGGCGTGGGGGGGTCGCAGCAGCAGGGTGCCTTCATCTATGCGGATGGGGTAAAGGAGCGCTCTGCCTGCGCTGGGAAAGCCCTCAGGGAGGTGGGCTCGGTGCGCAGGAGAGCAGCCCTCATTTTTCCTTTCCCTCGCCGGGTGCTGATTTTTTTTTTAATCTTGCCTTGTGAAGTGGATCGCGACTCCAAGTCAGCTAAACCCACATGGGGCTTCGCTGCTGTACAGAACCCAGGTCCTGTGAGCCCCCGGGTCTCTGGGCTTTGTCAGGAAGCAAATGCCAGCAGGAGAAGTCCCTTCAGTGCATTCCACTACGAGCAAAGGAGCAGAAGAAGCCAGGTTTGGTTCTGGGAAAAACCCAGCGACAATCTGCACCGTAATCGTTTCCCATGGACTGAAGAAACTCGCTGAACCGAACCCGTATAGGAGGAAGCATCTTGGAATGATAAATCTGCCCTCCCCGTGAAGGCATTCCCGTGTGCTCCCGCAGCATTGTGCTTTGTGAGAGACAGACACCGGCAAGCTGGGAGCAGGAGGCAGCCAGGAGCTCCGGTGAGGAACAGGAACTCTCACGTCGTGCTTGGGAAGGGGGTGAGGTTTTCTAGGCACCCGCTGGACGGACCTTTGGGGGCAGAGAGGAGCTGTTGCGATGGAGTTTCATGCGGTGGCACTCTCATTCATCCTTGCATTGAGGATGTCTTCTCTTGCTTCTGGGAACAAACTTCAGCCCCATATGTAAGTAGCAAGAAAAGAGTGCAGGGGTGTTTTCATAGGGCAGGGAGCTGTACAGCAGAAGCTAAATACAGTATTTTAAAAATCAAGGGTGAAAGGAAGGGCAGAGGGAGTGAAGGGCAGGGAGGGTTGCTCTGTGTTTCTTTATCTAGTCCCATATGTACGTAAAGAGGAATAGAAATCTGAAAATCGGGATAGTCCTTGCTCGGAGGAGGTAACTCACTGTTTTTGACTGAAACGTTGCTATTGTGTGAGCCCAAGGGGTGATCCTTGGGCAGAGTTTGACCCCTCTCCGCAGACCTCCTGTTCGTGTTTCTTTCCCCCTTTTGCCGTTACTCCAGCAGCACGCAGTCTGTTCGTTTTAATTCGGTTTTACAGTTGCAGTTTGGTGTTAATCGTTTGGCTTCTTTGGAAAACTTCCTTGCAAATTTGCTCTCCTGCCAGAAGATGATCTCCCGGTGCAGGGGATTGCTCCAATTCCTTTTGTAAATGAGCCCAGTGTTGCCTGGAGTGCGAACTCCAAGCTCCTCTCCCTGGTGTTTTGAACTTGTTGATTGAAGAGGGCTCCTTTTCAGCAGCTAAAGGTTGGGCAGGAAGATGCCTTTTCTCCCTGTGTCAGATTTTGTGCTCCTGCCTTGACAAGTACTTTTAGGACTTCTGGGACGAGACACTAGCCATGAGACGCGTGCCAGCGTGTCGGAGACGAGACAACGGCAGCGCCTGGGCAGCGCTGTCACTTCCCACAGGGCGCTGTCACAGACACAGCCACTCTTTGGGGCACGCAAGAACCTTTCTTCGCTGTGAGAATGACACCAGAGCGGTGCTGCCGCCAGCCCCCGGTTCCGTTCAGCCCCGGGTTGGGGCGCGCGGGCAGGTCGGAGGCGGGGGGAACGCCGCTCCGTGTCGTCTCGCTGCCGACACGACACAAAACGGCGTCTCTGGCCGTCGCCATTAGCACCGGGGGCTGTTGTGCTGGTGAAGTGATGTGTGCGGAGCTTTGCGAGCCAAACGGCTCGGCAGTGGCCACATGCGGGGACGGCGAGAGGAGATTTTCGTGCGGAGCTGGAGAGGGAAGGAAACATGCCATTAATCCCCCAGGCACTGCCAGGCTGGCTGTAACCACCGTGTAATTGAACGGCCTGGAGCAGTCAGATGCCAGCTGCAATCTCTATGCTTCACCACGTCCAAATTATTTCGTTTAACTTCTTTTATAGAAAGTATTTTTGTGAAAACATTCGGTCTCTTTTGAAGACTTGGAAGCAACAGAAGCACTCCCAAATAATGAACGGCTCATAACTTAAGTCAGGGGCGACTGTTTCCCTCTTCAGTCTTATTTAAAATTACTGACTCATATTTGGTGAAAGAGAGTTTGGATTAGAGAAGAAATAAAGTGCGAATGGCATTTTCCTTATTTTCTTGCTGACTGAATGATATAGGTTCACTTTATTTACTGGAATTAGTCTTGCAGCCCTTAGCTCTGAGTGAGAAAGTGTCTGAGGTGGCAAACTGAGTTCTGGTTTAAAGCAGTATTAATAACGTCATGTATCATTTCTAGTGGCAGCATAATTTTTTTTTTTTTTTTTCTCCAAACACTGTCAGAAGACGCAGGAATCGTTGGTGTTTGCAGTGACAACAGTCAGGGAAGTAATCCCCTAGGTGCAAAGAAAGCATATGTGTCCTCCGTTAACTGGGAGCGGATGGAATGGACAAACAGAGAAGTTATTGTGCTGCCGTATCCTGTAGGCTGCTGCCTCTTTTCTGATTCATCCTCTCTGTTTTAAGGCTAAAAACTAGCCTAAATGTATCAGTGGAAAAAAAAAAAACACCAAACCTGCTGCATTTTTCAAGTGGGCTGCAGAGCGTCCCAGGACCTAGGGGTACGAAATGTCAGCAGCTTCCCAACCTCACTGAGGTTTGCGATGTTGTGGTGTTATCAACCCATATTGTTTTAGGTTTCTGTTACCGTATCGGGCTGCAGACCTCCGAGGAGGGGTTTGGGACAGAGCAGGCTTCCCTCCGACTCGCAGCGCGGGATTTCTCAGCGTGTCCTCTCTGTGTGCCCGTTTTTCATCTGTAAATACGTGTTTGTGCTGTTCGCCCTGTAGTTCTCCAGTGTTTAGCCTAAAAACTCCAAGAGCTTTTAGGCAAGAGGAGTAGGTTGCATTTGACAACCGCTTGCGGCTGGCTGACCTGGCAGATTTCCTTTCCCTGCGCCGATTTAATTAAACGAGGAGACAACTCCTGTGTGTTTCGTGAGATCTTCCCGCCCTGCCAGTGGGGAAATGGAGCTGCCCCGAGCTGGCGCCCGCCTGGCCCCCCCCCCCCTCTGTTTCTCTGTCCCAGGCCGAACGTCTGCTTGGAGCAGGAGCTGGCGATTGTGGGGCACCGGCAGCCGTGCGTCCAGGCCTTCACCCGCACCCTCAAGGTGTGGAAGCAGGACTGCGGAGGGCGGCGGTGGTGCGTGGGCTACGAGCGGAGGTACGTGTCCTTCCCTCGCCCCTCGCACGGTGATCATTGATTCCCTCTCACCAGCAGCGGCGGGGACGAGAGCTTGGCGCTCGCTTTGCGTCGGCGAGGGGAGAGCCCGTTGTGCTGGCAGCGGCTGCAGGGCTCCGGGCAGGGGAGGGGGTCTGGGAACAGCCCCACAAGTGCCTGTCCTGCTGCCCGGGCTGGGGGCTGACACGGGGAACGGCCGCAGCAGCTGCCCGGGGCCCTCCGAGGAGCCTTAGTGACCGGGCAACGTGCTGTGGCTCCACGGTGCCCGCCTGGTACCTGGCCTTCAGCCGTCTGGCTTTGGGGTGATGGAGCAGTTCAGCTGGGGGTTGGGGTAAAGGGACAGCCTCCTGCCGAGAGCTGGCTCTGAACCCACACACTTGCTGTAAAGAGTAGAGCTATTTTATTCGATATTTTTCTTGGCTAAAACTATGAGAGATCTGCAAACCCTCTGTGCGTCTAGCTGGAGGGGCTTCTGACCCTACGTGCCATCTCTGTGGCACTCAAGAGTTTTTAAGCTGTTAATGAATTCCCGACAGGGAGATACATCACTCTTGTTCTAGAGCTTTGTGGCTGTGGGGAGCCGTTTGCACCCTTGTGACGGTGTATCATGTCTGTTTGCCGTGACCGTGCCACGCCAGCGCAACGCCTCGGTCACAACCAGTGCGTTGCTCCCGGACCTTTAGACATCTCTGCTTCGAAGCAGAGACTTCTCAATGCCTCGGTAGTTTTACGGTGCTGAAGGTGGTAGCTGGGTTATTGCGCATAGTCTTAAAAAAAAACCAAACCAAAACCAGAATAAAAGTGGCTGTGGTGCAGGCGCTGCTCTGTGGGGCCGGTGGCTGCACCTCTGGCCCCGGGAGCAGGACCCTGCTCGGGCCCACGGCAGAGGGGAGTCTCAGCTCAGCGGAGTTCCGCTCGCGCGTGCAAGGAAGGAGTTCGTGCTCTGAGCAGGGAATGGCTGCGGTTGGTCCGCGAATCGTAGTGTCCCCTGAGCTGCTGACTGGGCTTTGCTGGGAGCCGGCGGACCCGGCACGGAGGGGTTGCAGGGGGAGGGCTCTGAGCGTGTGCAGCGGTGCAAGTAATGACCTCTTCTTACCGACACAGCAGCCAAGCTACAGCGTGCCCAATCTTCTGTGCTCCACCTGCTTTTCCGGCCGCATTAGGCAGTTACAAGCCTTTACAAAATAATAATGATAATAGTAGTTTCAAAGAAGCATCTTGGACTAGGGACAGCTTTTAAGTCTTGACTTCAGGAATTCCTCCTAAGCTGTAATTGCCAGTAATTATCTTGGTGATGATATCTGTGTGGTGGTAATAAAGGAGCAAACAGAGTCCGTCTTTTGACTGTGTTTTAAGAGAGGACTTTGAAATGCTAGGTGCCCCGTCTGCCTCTACTTCAAAGGCTGGAAGCTCTGCAGACCCAGCTGTCCCTTTCGTTCTTTAATGCAGGGTTTTGACGTTGTAAATCAAGGAATTGAAATGAAGAAACTTTGTCGTGCTTCGTTGTAACTATCAGAACAGCCTAGTGCCAGCACTCAGTTCCTGATGAAAACACGGGAAGTCTGGAGGTGCTGTGAGGGGATTTCACCCAAGGAATTTTAGAAGCAAGACCATAAAAGGACTTATAAGCAGAACTTTTCCTCAGGCAAGATTTTTGTCTCCTGTCCCCTCACGCTGAGCTGCGCAGCAGCAAGCTTATGCCAGTAGATTGTAGATCTGGGCCGTCGAGGGCGGCGGAGCGCGTGGTTTCGGCCGTCCCAGGGATGCTGCACAGCTGGAGCTGCTCCGGTGGGACCCGGCAGCACGGGGCTCGGGGAGCACATTCACCCCCCGGGGTTGAGGTCGCGGACACGGCTGGGAGAATCCACCGCCTGCCCTTCCTTCCCCAGAGCAGCGCTCGGGGCTGCTGCCGAGCCAGCTGGACCTCACCTCACCCACCCGCAGTTTCAGAATTAATTTTCTAAAATTCCCGGGCGTGCCTGCAGCGCTGCAGATACTGCCGCAGCCCCATCGCGGGGGACAGGGTGCTTGTCTGCTGAGTTTGTGCATTCCGAAACCAGTAACATTTCTCTTTATAAGACTTGTATCTGTGCCTAGAGTACTGGATTTGCAACATTTCCCAAAACTCAGAAGGAACTTTGCTCTGTGCCCCCCAGGCCGCGGGCCCTGCTCAGCGTCTGCTCCTCAGCAGATGAACTGAGCATCCCCTGGGCTGGGCTTCCCCTCAGTCCTGCTAACGCGAGGCTTTTGCTGCTGGTTGTGTGACCCCTGAGTTGGGTAAGGACAGGAGGTACCTTTGCTCAGCCCTCAGTAACGAAACTGGGCGGAATGTCGGCGCTATCCCAGAGGGGCTGGAAGCGGATTTTCCGGCAGCAGGGCACAGCAGGGGTTTTAAGCCTGGGTTCCATTAGTTCTGGCCCGTTCAACATTTTCTGGGCCAGGGACTCCTTAAATACAAAAGAACACAGAAACATTGAAGATACTTTATCTCTTCTGCGGTTCTTTACAGCCTGCAGCACCCAGATATCCACAGGCTGTCAAAATATTTGCATCTCCTTGAGAACCCACTTGAGCTGACTTAAGGATCCGAAGTGTCGGGTAGAGCCCGCCGAGGCTGGCGGAGATGAGGTTGCTCGGGGCGCTGTTGGGAGCTGGAGGGAGTCCGGGATTAGTCCTGAGCTGTCCTACGTTACTGTTTGTTGGAATACCTTTTCCTCCCCGTTTCTGAGCTTACGCAGGGCAGAAGGAAGAGTCCCTCTCATTCCGGATGGAGGGGACGGCGTTTTCCGGAGCAGCCCATGCAGCAAACGTTCCCGTTACAGCACCCGCACCCACCGTGGGTGCCCGGGGCTGGGCAGGGAGATAACTCTTGATACCGAGAGGATCCAGATGGATCTGCGCCTGATTGCTGGCTGCTCTGGTGCCTGAGTGACTGCAAATTGCTTTCTCAGCTGCTTCTGGAACACGAGTATTTCCTTCATAATTTGTTAACAGCTCGTACAAAAAAAAAAAAGAATTGGTATCTGCTTTTATTTTTCTCAGCTGTGCTTCCATATGCTGGTTGGCACAGAAGAGTAGCCGAAGGTTTCCTTCAGGGGAATGAACGGTTCACCGTTATTTAGGGGCTTTTGTGGAAACATTCAGACAAAATCAAACAACTAGGCTGAGTTAGGATAAATATTTTCGGTGGACACGTACAACACATCTGCTCTGCCAAATATTTGTTGTTGTTTGTCTGACTTGCTTTGGTGGAGCAGTTTCATGTTCTGCCAAAGGAGCTTTTTAAAAATCGGCTTCAAAAGTTTTATCTGTGTTTCGATTTTTCACATATACACACCATCACATTTCCAGGAAAGAAGTGTCGCTTTTATTTATTTATGCTTCAGATCAGCCCCTGCTTGACTACCCCCCCGCTCCCACCCTGGAGTAACTGGTGGGGTTGTTCAAGGGACCTTCAGCTTCCCCCCCCACGCGCAGCATCCCCTACCAGAGCTTCGGGGGGCCGTGTGGGGCTGGAGGGGGCTGCTGGCTCTTCCAGGAAGACGGGAGAGCTGTGGGCACGCGTGTGGGGCACGGCCGCGCTGCCTGCACCAGGAGGGCCAGGAGGAGAAAGCCCTTTCCATGGGGGAATCGGTTCTGCCAGCTGGAACCCGCAGAAGCCTTCCTGTTTAAAACACAACTGCATGGAGCTTTTTGAGTAGTTTGATATTCCCCTCAGGATTCTGATGACTTTTTTTTTTTTTTTAGCTCACCAGCCCCTCGAGACACCTGCTCGTGCTTACTACAGCTGGACTGAAATACCTATTGTTCTTAAAATTTAAACTACTTTTGTTAAGAGGTAGTCTAGGAGAGGAGCTCAGAGCCGTGAAATAGTTTAGAAAAGGGGAAAAGAGCTGGGGGGTGTTGTGAGGACCTGGACACTCATCTCTCGTGTTCCCAATTAGAGTAAATTAGGAAGTAAATTAGGAACAACCATTGCCAGCCCAGGTGGAAAAGAATGCCAGCACATTTGAAAACCCAATCCCTCCTTTCATTTACACCCACAGTTACAGCTTCTGTTCTTCCCCGTCTCCTCGTTGTGCAGGAATTAACGTTGTCGGGGGTTTTGCTGTGTTTCAGAACTGCCTATCACACTGCCTACAGGCAGACGTACAGGGTGCGACGCCAGCCCGCCTACAGGTGCTGCCCGGGCTGGGCCCAGCGCGGGGCCGACGCCGGCTGCCTCCACCGTAAGTACCGCGCTCTGCGGGGCGCTCGCCGGCTGCTGCCCCGCGGAGGGCTCCGTGGCCGAGGGTGCTCATTTCCAGTCCTGGGAATGCTATAGAAATGTCTTTAAAAAGAACTGGGGTGGGTTGTGGTTTTTTTTTTTGTTTGCTTCTGTTTTTTAATTTTTATTTATTTTAACCGTGTGTCAGAAGGATTTTTCTCTGCCTTCCCAGGAAGCGCTCTGTGTTGCTTGCCGTTTTTGGAGAATTTCCTCCTCGCAGCGTGAAAGGGTTTCCAGAGTCACATTCATTTCTCTAGTTGCCAAATGCTGCTCAAGGTTTACAGTCAAGCCCAGCTCGGAGTGGACTGTTCATTATGACAGCCAGTAATTGCTGTCTGTGATTGAACGTGCCAGCGGTGGCTGATTTGGTCTTGCTCGGAGAGCGGCTTCCCTGGAGGAGGTGGCCTCTGGGACACGGGGTTCCTGGGGACGGGGAGTTTCAGCTCCCAGCGCGTGGCCTCTTGCCGGAGTGTGTCCCTGGCTGGTCTCTGCTCCTCGCCCTGAGCTGTGGCCAAGAGCGGGGCTCGTCCATCTGCTTAGGTGTGAAGGGACGCGACCCCTCAACTCCTTTGTGTCTAAATCTGTTATTTTTAAGACTTGCTGAGCTTGAGAACCCCAGCTGGAGGTTTAGGATCTCTGCAGAGTCCTCCCCGTAGTCCTTTAGCCCAAGGGTGAGCGTTCGGGTGCAGGACTGGTGGGACCCAGCAGGCTGCCAGCGTGGTGAAGTGATGGCGCTCAGCGGGTTTGAAGCGGAGACCCAGAACTTGAGACTTTTGGATCCTGTGGCTTCCCTCCCCTTCTGCGTTTGCTCCAGTGTAATTCTCTGCAAAGCAGGCATGCAAGTATCTACTTCCCAGCTGTGCGGGGAAGCTGCGATATGTATTCAGATTTGCACGTGACTCAGGCTGGGGATGCGCAAATATTAGTATATAAGAAGATTTTCTGTTGTTATTGCAGAAGACAGAGGCAGCTTTATCCTCGTGGGCCCCAGATTCCTGCCTCCCCCTCCAGTCTGCCCTGCTTGACATGGGAGGCAGACGCTGCGTAGCTCCCAGCTCCTTCCCCTGAACACCTCCAGCTGGGGAAATATTTAACTTTAAACTTTGCTTTCAGGACGTTGAGAGCAAAGTAAAAACCTTCTCTGGAATCAAACAAAGGTTTATCTGAGCAGAGGAGTAGAAATAAATGTCAGCATCACGCTCCCTGTGATACATTATTAATTCTCTGCCTCGTTGCATAATGGAGCTCTGATCTTTTCCGAATCAGCCTTTGGAGGTGCACTCCTACCCTCGCCACAGAAAAGCAGCTTTCGTTTTAAGTACTAGGCAGGCGAACCAACAAAGCATCTGGGCTCTGGCCTGCCTCGCCATCAAGGGGATGAAAGCAAACCGTGTCCAACGCCTTTGTAAAGGCGATTTTGGCTGTAATTGACCCACAATATAGGAAAATGTCTCCCGCAGCCCGTCGTCTTTTGTTCTGCAAAGGGGCTGCGTATACCTTCCGCGTGCTTTGATGCTTAAGCAAGGGTTTGGAGGAAAAAAGAAAAAGGTGTGTCTAGCAACCAGTCTTTATTCTTCCTATTCAAAAGCCTGCGACACAGGAGAGCAGCCCCACTGTGCCAGAGGAAACGCCGTGGGTGCTGGATAACCCACTGTCAGCGAGCAGATAGCAACCTCGGATGAACTCAGAAAAGCGCGTTCCGTAATGATTTTTCCCGCTGAGGAAGTGAGTAATTCCATCCAGGAAGGAAGCAGAGGAAAGGAAATAAAACTGCTCAGGGCACGCTCTTACCTCATCGTCCTCATCATCGGGCCCACACTCAGAGGCGGGGTGATGGTGGTCACCGGGCTGCTCGCTGCAGCCAGTCTGGCATAAAAAAAGAGAGGGAAGTCCAGCTCTTTTGGGGGCAAAATACTTTGACTCTCCCGATTAATGTCAGACTTGGTGCTGATGTGACGGGCGAGCTGTTGGTGTTTATTTTTCTTGTCACGCAGACACCAGTAGTTCCTCTTGCTCTCTTTTAAGTGGGTCTTGTTTAGATGTTTTCTGTGTATTATTCCCCAGAGTAGGAAAGCCAGTCGATATTAAACGCTGAAGGACAGGTTACAAAGTCCTTGCTTTTCCCTTGCTTCCATCCCTTAACCTTTAAGTTTCAAAGTGAGGATGCGGGTGGCGTGATCAGTTAAATGGTGTTTCAGCAGGAAGGACACGAAGGTGCAATTGAGGGCAGCAATGGGGTGCAACCCCCCTGCTCGGGTGCTGCTCAGCTGTCCTGCGATTGTCAGCCAGCCCTCCCTGCGTTCGGCCGACCCCGAGCGCTCAGAGCACCTTCAGTAATATTCCTGTGATAGGCAGCTTGGGTGTTTTGCCAGGTCCCGGGGACAGCCAGCCCTGGCGCTCTGCAAAAGCAGAATGGCACCAGCTCCAAAAATTCAGCAGAAATTGCTGCCAAGCTGCCAGCGGGGCTTTGGGGTGGATCGTGGCCTTTGGCTGGTGAGCAGCTTGGATGAGATATATGTGCTGCTTCAGGGAGGATCGTGGCTGGCTTGAAACTACTGCACTAGAAATTTTTGTCATGGCAGGAGGAAGAAAGTAGGATGTAGGAGCGCTGCTGGCGTGACAGCGTGGAACTGGTGTTTGTGGCAGAGAGGATTCAGTTTCCAGGGTCCGACATTGCCCCGCTCAGACCTGGCGTGAGCTCGCGGGGAAGCGTGTGTTGGATTTCCAGGTGCTTCCCTGGAGCTCACATTCTAACATCTTTTTGTCGGTATTAGATTTCTTGTAAGTCTTTTTAATACACTCGTGATGCTGAAAATATAAACGTTCCACCTTCTGTGTTACGCATTCGCCAGGAGACGTGTGTTTCTGACGTGTGGGGCTTTGTCTCCGTTCAGCCATTCGGAGCTGGTCGAATACCGTTAACTTTAAAACCGGGACCGTGCTGTAAGCTTGAGTTTCTGGGGCAGAAGAAGGGGGTATTCATACACCTCCAGTGCTCGTGCCAGCAGGGAGCTCAGCTCTGTGGGTGAACCTTCCAGAAGGTTGCCTGGGGCAGGAACCCGAGTTACGTTGCTCTGTGAATCATCTTCTGCATCCCCTGGGAGCAGCAGCAGACCAGCCACGGCGTTGCGTGGCTGAAGGGTGGCAGGGGGCTCCCCCGCCCCGTTTCCAGCCCCCCCCCGCTGGACGAGCATCCCATGGGCTGGGCCGAGGGGAACGGGGCAGCTCTGCCCGGCTCCCCAGGATGGCTGCTCCCCGAGCTGGGGGTTTCTGTTCTGCTCCCCAGACGGTCCTGGGGAACGCTTCTGGTTTCCGTGTAACTAAATCCTCATCCCGAGTTGCTCCCAGCTGTTGGTTTGCAGGGGTGTGATGACTTTTCCTGCTGGTGGCCTTGACCTTAGAACGAGCATGTTCTTCTGGGCCAGAAGAGGGTGTTGGAAGGGCTGGCAGGGAAATGAGTCAGTAGATACTAGTGAGCTGCAGGCAGGGAAGCACAGCCAGGGCGTTCTGTATGTTGGAGGATTTTCTGGTTTGTATGTGGCAGTGGCGAGGCAGCCTGCGCTCGCTGGTGGAGCTCTGCTGAAGGCAGCGAGGCTGTGCCAGAGCGTGTCAGCAGGGTCTGTGGCCCTTCCTGTCTGTCATCAGAGATCCCTGGTCCTGTTCCAGGAGTACAGCGGTGGGCAGGGCCACCGCTGCTGACAGCTGAGTTGGAGCTGTTGGACACGGTGTGGTGGAATCGCTCCAGTAAGGACGCTTTATCTCGTGCTCCCTTGGAGGCTGACATCTCTTCACTTTGCTCCAAATACTGGACCCTTCATCACTTCACCTTAAACATCACGTGGGTCGGGTGTTTTTTTATTTTTTATTAGGGGAAATTCTCACCACTGTAGACTTGTGTGTAGCCAGCCAAGGCCAGCTGCTTTCTTCTTGCTTGAGCATGACACAGTCTGGCATTTGATGGTGATGCTAAATAGTGTTATAGGGTGGGAGGTCCCAGCACCGTTGTGGGTTCCAGTTCAGCCGAGTTCCTCAGGCTCACAGAGCCTGCGCTGGTGCCTGGGAGAGAGCTTGTCCCCCAGCAGCCTCCCCGCTGAGCGTGCTCGCTGTTTGCCTAGGGTGTCTGTAGCGAAAGAAGAGCGTTTTACTTCTTTTCCCAAACTGCAGGTTTGTGTCTCGGAGCACTTACGGGTGCGCAAATGGCTGCGAGGACAGGACTCGGTGACTGGGAGTGCATGGGCTCTGCTGGGAGCTAATAACTTGGAGAGAGATGGAAAATTTCATAGAAACACCCTATAAAATGGTGCTGAAGCCGAGCGATCTGAGGCCTAATGGCTCCACAGAGATCTCACGGGCCTCAAAGAATATTTGCTGTCTCTGTTCCTCTGCCACTGCCCCCACTGATTTGAAGTCGTGAGAGCTGTGCCTGCTCATGACCCCCCCGGAGCTGTTGGATCCCCCCTCGGAAGGCCGGGTCCCTCTTCCCTCGCAGCGTCCCTGACTGCGCTGCCATCGCGCCGCCGCGGAGCATTCAGCCGCTCGGTCCCATTTGGGAAGGAAAAAGGTCAGAAGTCAAGACACCCTCTGCATTCTTAGCGTGGCATCAGGTTCTTTCCGTGCCCGATTACTGATAAATGGACTTTTAGAATAAGCTGCTCAGTTTCAAGTGGCCTCTGAGATGCTACTTAAATTCCACATGGGTTTAATAACACGGTTAAAAACCTTGGTGATTAGGACGAGGGGCCTGCATGTCTGGTAATCCCCGTGATCTCTGCTTTCGGCTCAAGATATTGAAAAGCTGAGTCCCACCAAGTCTGCAGCTCTTGATCTTCATGGAGGAGCTGGAGTTCAGCCACAGGCACGTCTGTGCTCCTGGGCCAGCTCCTGCCGCCTTCAGAAGTGACACGATGAGGCAGGAAGGCACCAAGGAGAGCAATAAGTATGGAAGAGGCTAAAGGGGAGACC